TAGAGATAGCGTATAGTAATCTTAGAGTTAAATAAAACCTTCTTATAGTAGAGTACTATAGTATCTCTACTATTAGAGAGTTTATTCTTAGAGAAATTAATAGAGAATTACTAAGCTTAAGGTTATAAGTTCTCTTAGTATAGAGAGTTTAACGCGTTACTAGAGTTATTTATATTATTATTATTATTATTATAGAAGCTTTCTAGAATTTATAAATTACTAGTATTATAGAGATTAGTATTACTATAAGAGTAAGGTAGTAGTAGAGATAAAAGAGGTAGAAAGAAGTTACTACTAAAGATAGTACCTAATATCTAAGTAGGTTAAGTTATCTATATAGATAAGAGAAAGAATCTAAAGCTAGACTTAGCTTTTAAACCTAGAAAGCTACTACTACTACTAATAGCGCGCGCTAAGAAAGCTATAGTTAAAGTAGTATATAAGAGAACTTTAGCAACGCTACTACTACCTATAACTAGTAAAGAGAATAGCGTACTAGTAGGCTTAGACGTAGACTCTAGAGTTATTTTCTAACTAGTCTTCTTACTAACCTAGTTAGGTAGAGTTCTGCTAGAGTTCTAGAACGCTATATTATTTAGTGTTATAGCTAATACATTAGGTAGAATATAAGTATTATAATTATTATTTAATTGCGCGTTTTTAATAGAGTTACTAGAAACTAACTTAGCTTATTACGCTAGAGTTACTAATATAATTTAAAGACTATAATAATATATAAAAGTTATATTAAGTTTAGATAATTAAGTTAATATTAAATTATAATATTATTATAGTGTAGAGAAGAAGATCTACTCTATAGAGTCTAAATACTCTATAGAGTAGACGTATAGGCTACTTATAAGGCTCTAAACTATAACACTAGTATATTAAATAAGCTCTTAACTATATTCTTACTCTTTTTTATAAGTTTTTTTAGCGTTAGTAAGTCTAAAGCTAATCTTATTACTAGTTATATTACTTTACTTACTAAAGCTTAATTAAGCTTTTTATTATTACTATATTAATTATTTTTCTCTTAAACGCGTTACTATTACTTTATAAGTTCTTTTAAGATTATTATTTTAGAAGCTATTATAAAGGCTATTATAAACTACTATATTTATACTATACTAAAAGCTATTATAAGTACTCTAAAGAGCTACTTTACTAGTATAAAGCTATATACTAAGCTTATTAATATTTTTATTACTTTTATTTTTAATATTACTATTTTTATTATTTTTATTATTTTTATTATATATATAGCTAGCGTAAAACTTTTTATTATTTTCTTTTTTACTTTTACTTTTAAAAAGCTTATTAGTAAAATATATAAGCTTTTTAGTAGTTATAGTTTTTTACTTATAAAGAATAAAAACTAAAAAAACTATTTTATTAAAGACTATTTTATTAATAATTTTACTAATAAGATACTACTAATTATTTACTATATTATTATTTATAACTAAGTATATAAAGTAAAAAGAATAATAAATCTACTTCTTTTTTTAGCTTTATAAAAAGCTATACTTTAGTAAAGAAATACTTTAGCTAAAATACTTTATAAAAGTAATAAAAGCTAAAATAGTAAAAATATAGTATTTATAAGTTACTTTATATAGTAAAATACTATTTATTAAATAGTAGCTATAATAAACTACTATAACTTTTATTAAGACTTAGAGAAATAGTTATTATATTATAGTTATTAAAAAATAGATACTATAAGGCCTAGTATAGTATTTCTATTACTACTATATTATATAGTTTTTAACTACTATATAAACTTAGAAGTATATAAATATATATAGTTATAGTTTATATAAGTATTAGTGCTAATAGTAATATATACTAAATATCTTAAAATCTTAAAATCTTCTAGCTATTCTAAGATAGCCTAGAAGCTAGGCGTTTTTTAATATCTTTTTACTAAATAGAGTCTACAAAATTAGGTATAAGACACTATAATACTTTTTTTTATATATTTTTATTTTTATTTTTTATAATAATTTTATAACTTACTAAAATAGCTAATATTTATACTTTTTAGTTTATATTTATAAACTAACTATTTAAAATATTTTACTTTACTTAAGTAAGCTAAATACTAAGTAGTTAAAGTTACTAAATAAAATTTAATACTACTACTTTTTTAATAATTAAGAAGTTTTTAGCTATTTAGTTTATACTTATAAATATTAGCTATATTTATATTTATATTAGTATTTTTAGTATATATATTTATATACTTTAATACTTATTAAGAATAAAACTATACTTTTAAGTATTATATAACTATTTAGTATATAGCTAAACTTTAAAAAAAGTACTACTTTTAAAAATAATAATAAGTTAGTAATAAGTAGCTTATAATTTTACTACTTTTTTTATTATAATAGTAAACTTTAAAAAAGCTAAAAGTTATAAAAAAATACTAAGTAGTAGTAATTTACTATTAAAAGTAAGCTAAGTATTTATATAAAAAATAGTAATTATATTAATAGCTATAGTATATATATTATATTTTTAAGAAGTAATACTTACTATAGTTACTTTTTATATTTTTTTTTTTTAACTTATATTTATATATAGTAATTTTATTTTATAGTTACTATTTACTTTACTTTATAATACTATAATAATATAAAGTAAAATAAGCTACTTATAACTTTTATAATATTAATAACTTTAATAAAAAAATACTTTTATTTATTAGTAAACTAATAATTCTATAGTAGAAGCTAGTTTAAAAAGAGTAAGATCTATTACTAGTATATAAAAAGACGTATTTTAAAAAGATTAAAATCTTATATTTAGAGGTATAAGCGTTAGGTAGACTAAGACTTAAGTTTTTAGTACTACTACTTCTAGTATAGTTAAAGCTTTTAAAATTTAAAGTAGTAAGGTAACTATTTTATAAATACTAACGTCTACTTATATTATAGTAGAGAGAATTATAATATAATTATATATTCTTAATAGCTTATAACTAACTAAGCTATAAATTATAAAGTAATAAAATACTAAAATTTTAGCTTATAAAATTCTTATTTTTATTTTTATTTTTATTTTATAGCTTATAGTAAAATTAGAGATCTAAAGACTTATTAAAGATATAAATAGTAGCTTAAATCTAATACTAAAAGCTATACTAATTAAATAAGCTCTTAACTATATTCTTAATACTTCTTTTATAAGTTCTTCTAGTGTTAGTAAGTCTAAAGCTAATCTTATTACTAGTTATATTACTTTACTTACTAAAGCTTAATTAAGCTCTTTATTATTACTATATTAATTATTTTTCTTTTAAATATATTACTATTACTTTATAAGTTCTCTTAAAGTTATTATTTTAGAAGCTATTATAAAAGCTATTATAAACTACTATATTTATACTATACTAAAAGCTATTATAAGCGCTTTAAAAAGCTACTTTACTAGTATAAAGCTATACACTAGACTTATTAATATTTCTATTACCTTTATTTTTAATATTACTATTTTTATTATCTCTATTATCTTTATTATATATATAGCTAGCGCAAAACTTTTTATTATTTTTTTTTTTACTTTTACTTTTAAGAAGCTTATTAGTAAAATATATAAGCTTTTTAGTAGTTATAGTTTCTTACTTATAAAAGATAGAAACTAGAAAAACTATTTTATTAAAGACTATTTTATTAATAATCTTACTAATAAGATACTACTAATTATTTACTATATTATTATTTATAACTAAGTATATAAAGTAAAAAAAATAATAAATTTACTTCTCTTTTTAGCTTTATAAAAAGCTATACTTTAGTAAAAAAATACTTTAGCTAAAATACTTTATAAAAGTAATAAAAGCTAAAATAGTAAAGATATAGTATTTATAAGTTACTTTATATAGTAAAATACTATTTATTAGATAGTAGCTATAATAAACTACTATAACTTTTATTAAAACTTAAAAAAATAGTTATTATATTATAGTTATTAGAGAATAGATACTATAAGGCCTAGTATAGTATTTCTATTACTACTATATTATCTTACTAAGTAATTAGTATAGTGTATAGTTTTTAACTACTACGTAAACTTAGAAGTATATAAATATATATAGTTATAGTTTGTATAAGTATTAGTACTAATAGTAATATATACTAAATATCTTAAAATCTTAAAATCTTCTAGCTGTTCTAAGATAGTAGCTAGGCGTCTTTTAACGTCTTTTTACTAAACAGAGTCTACAAAATTAGGCACAAGGCACTAAAGATACTCTTATAAATAAGAGAAATTATAAGTATAATACACTGTTAAGAAGAATCTGATTATAACTTAGCGTCTGATCAATGCAGGCGCACGTCTGCCCAACATGAAGGGCTGGCCAATGCATGAGGCTACGTACGAGGTGCTGCGACAAGCAAAGATCAGCCAAGATGGAGGCAAACATGTCCTAAAGTATAAGCGCTTCAAGAGAATGAGCGAGGAAGATATCGAGAAATATCAGGCGCAGCACAAGGTTGGAGCCATCATCTAGCCCATACGATTGGACGACCATACTAGATCATTTGCGATGACGGCGGGCAGCTCCCTTTGGACACGTTCTTTTACTATTTTACTTATGGGATCTGCGGGCGCTGGGGTTCGTACTGTACCTATCTTAGAAGTCATTATTTTCTGCTCAAAATCATGGCTGCCTGGTACCTATGACGGCCTATTTCGTCATCAAAGTCGCGCTCGCCTCGAATTGCAGTTGCCAGGGCTATACATAAGTCGAGGTGATCGACGGTTGCGACTACCTTTACCTCTGCCTGGACCAGGAAAGCTTGGCACACAGGCCCTTTCCCTGTTGAGGCAGCCCACTCTGCTTCCTTCCTTCCTCCACCACACTGTGTCGCGATTGCAAGGACTGAAAGCCCTACGTAAATAATCACCGTCGGCCTGATTGCGATATGTACTAACATGAGCCAGATTCGAGAAGTGACGAGCTTCGAGCAACGACTTCAGTCACTGCGATGGACTTGCTCGACTTTCCGCCTGAGATCTTCAAGCGCATCGTCCACTGCCTCGTCAGCGACGCTGGTGTGGCCGGGTCTTGGAAGATGCGTCACGTGTGCCGTAAGTTCCCCATCGCCTTGGTTGCATGTGCAGTCAATGCTGATCATTGTATAGGCACATTCGATCAAGAGATCAGCGAGAACGTTCTAGCTGTACAACCTGCAGAGGCATTCCTTAATTCGCCCGATCTCCGCGTACTCAAGAACAAAGAGAACTTGAAGTACTACCTCGCCTATCACGTTAAGACTCCGCGAGATGTTCTACCGGAGCTTCCCGCCAAGATACAGAAGATGGTCGAATATGCTACGAAGGCACTGGAGGATACGGACAAGCTCCATGACCGAAACATACTTTTGGAAGTCTGTGCCGCGGTTGCGCACACTTGTCGAGATCCATTCACCTTCATCTGGAGGTTTAACCACACTTCGGTCAGGTGGCGCGACTTCCCCTCCCACTGGCAAAAGGAACGGTACGAGCGTTCGCGCAAAGAACTGAGCCGAGATATCACCATTCGCGACCAGCTCATAGCTGCGATAAGTGTAGGTGCCCATGACACAGTCGCAAAATTACTACTCCAGGTCCCTGCGTCACTCCCGCTGGGAGGCCTTGGCGACCCGATGGTAGCTTGTGTTCCGCAGGATGACCAGAATATGATCATGATAATGATGAAGTGTCTGGATCAGGATGAGTCTCGGAGGTTCAAGAGGGATGAGGTAACCAAGCAAGATTCTCCATACAGCGTTCTCGACGCTATGAAGCTAGCTATCATGCATGGCCGCCTCGACATGGTAAACCTGCTACTTAGCTATCTCCATCGTTACCTGGTCCCTTGTGACAACACACATTTCCATTCATGGATTCTTCGTGCTGTTCTCTCACAACACACCGAGGTTCTCAAAGCTCTTCTCCAAGCCGCACCAGGCGCGAAGCCCTTACGAGTCAACTCTGATATCTTCGAACAAGGTCTCAAAATCGGTAACCCTGCTATCGTTAGCACCATGATCAAGTACGGAAGCATGAATCTAGACTCAAGGAGCTCCCAGTTGTCAGCACTGTCAGTTTCCATAAGAGTCGGTAGCGTCGCCACCATTCGCGCAGTGGCCGAAGCTGGTGCAGACATTGGCTTTGTCATGGACAGACATCGTCTTAGGAATCGCGGTGCCATTACACCCCTGGAGTACGCCATTCATTTCAAGAAATACGGCGCAGTAGTCTGCTTGATCGAATGCGGAGCGAAGGTTCCTCCTATCAGCACTTGGCCGACATCGAAAAAGATGCGTAACGTCCTGCAGAACGCTGTCACCAAACAGAAGATAACTACCAAGTAAAAGCACAGCCACGCTCTTACGGTATTGCAACCTCTGGTACATCCTTGGGTTAATACGCAGCTGATGGAAATCTGCAGCATGGAAAGCAAGAGATACCTTATCACTGGTGCACGTCAAACATGGCAATTATATGCGGTGGGTCAAGGGCGCAGGGGTATACTTTGGTACTATGAGTTGCAGATGGGCAGACTATGCGAGTACACATGGTGCAAGCGTATCTAGTTGGTAAGGCTTCAAGTAGCGAGGGTCACACACCCACCATCATCGCTGAAGGCCTAGCACAGAATTACCCCAAGAACTATTTCATTCCATTTCTACCACGGTACAGACCATCGTTCCCATATCCTGCCGCCTGAAATGCCTAGTAGAAGGATACATTATCTTGGAAGCTGTTTACTTGTTAAGATCTGATATTATGTATGCAGCAAACCCTACTTATGTGGCACGAATTCGAGCCACTTCTCGTAATGGTGGCAGTGAATGTGACCAAACTCTTCAGCGCTTGGGCCTACCGTAGGTAGGGCGAAGGCCTTTCACACGGACACCTTGATATAGCACTAGCGCGCTGTTTAGCGTCTTTGACAAAGTGTAACCCCCAGCCACTAGCTCTTCCACATATAACTCTCTATCTTCCAACGACCCAGTCGCCGTATACGACATCAACCGAGCGCAAGAACAACTCAACATGGCGCAACTTCTGGATCTACCCACGGAGATATTCCAAAACATCATCCACTCGCTCAACTCGGATAGCCCCAGGGCCACTTGGAAACTTCGAAGCGTTTGTCACACTTTCGCTGGCGAAATCAAGCATGACCTGCTCAGCAATCAGCCCAAGCATATCGTTGGATTGATCCCGGGAGTCATCACTGCCAACATCACAACGTATATACTTGCCCATCTGAACAAGCCCGCCGATGTCGACAACCGGCTACTCAATACGATCCACCGAATGATTGACTATTTGGTTTCGGAACTCTCAATCCCAGAAGGGCAGCGGAAGAAGACTGAGACCCGCATGGTTGAAGGTCTTGTCCGAGTCACTGGTCCTGACGAAGTAATGTATATGATGATGAATTGGAGGCGTTCCTACCGCCACCCAGCCATTCAGTTGAGGAACAATCCAGAAAACGGCGCGGACATTCACCACTGGGAGAAGATCGTAGCGGCTATGTCGACTCAGGCAATTGACTTGATTCGCCCTCTGCTAGCGCAAATGCCTCCCGCGATTTGGTCTCCTTACACGACCTTCGGCGAAGGCCCTCTGGTAATGGCTGTGACTTCGAAACACGACGAGCTTTTCGATGCAGTCTTACACCACCTGAATAACCTCAAGAAGTCGGTCAAACGTGATACTCTAGGTCCTTACGACTACAACTTTGCAGAAGCGATTTGCTCCGCTATCCGGGCTGGCAATACACGCTTCGTGGATGAGCTTGTCAAGTTCCGCCAGACAATATTCCGCAGGGTTGAGAAGCGCACGTACAACGGGTGGCTCGAGATCGGTATCGAGAATGGAAACACAGACGTAGTAGAGTCTATTCTACGCCTGAACCCATCAGGCAGCCTGGTCAATAATCGCCTCTTCACAATTGCATGTCGTACTGGTAATGTTGACATGGTCAACTTGCTTCTGGACGACGAAGAATTGGACATCAACGACGGAACCCTTTTCACCAACTTCCTCTGCTGCGCCATCAAGGTCAGCGACATCCCGGTCGTCGCCGCGGTCCTGGATGCAGGTGCAGATGTCAATGGCGCCTTTCCTAGGTACCAGCGGTCCACAGAGACGGTTTCGCCGATGGAAGTTGCTCTCAACCGAAACAGCAAGGAGTTACTGGAATTGCTCATGAGCAGGGGAGCCACAATGCCGCCTCGGGCGCGCTGGCCCAAGACCAAGATGCTATACACCATGATCCGCGAGGTCGCGATCGCGAACGGGGCAACAGACATTCCCGCATACAGTATTTCACTGAGGCGAGGTCTCGATGAGATTTGATGGAGCTGTTCATGAGATGCTAGCGGTAGATCTGTTGTGAGGTGGGTGGTATGGGACGCAGCTCAGAGACGATCGAATGGGAAGTTTGCTGGTCTCGTAATGTTATCGTGCGATGGATGGCGTGTAACAAGATGAAATTGATGCGAAAATTATCCACAATATTGACGAAGCTAATGCCGCCGTGTCCTAAACGCCTGTACCAAAGGGTTTGCCGTATACGTCGCGTGTAAAATTCAGTGGATGCGCATCTCATACAGGCAGAGATGTGAAGGATAGGTACCGCATGGCGTCGTTGCTGCTTGTGGTGTGCGCGTGGCGGAGCCGCGAAATGGAGGAGGTGCGATGCGTCGAGAAGGCCCGGGGCGATGTGCCTCGGTAGTTCATCGAATCATACGATACATTGACCCCTGCAGTAGCGAGCGGCAGGAAGCTGCCGGTTGTAACCTCAGTTCCTCTGTTGCAGCTCTGTAGTTGAATATTCGTGACTGCAATGCTGCGACAGCTGGGCTCACTCACCGCGCGATGGATCGAGCCGGGCCTAGTGGTACCCGTCGATGCAAGGCACGAAACGTGCGTGGTTGGAACGGCGCCGGCGCGGACGGGTCTGACGTCACAAGGGGACGAAACGCCGGCAAAACGGCAGCGATCATCGCAAACCCTCTGACGCCGCAGAAGGAACGTTAAGGATGCGGAGCAGCACGTCCGTGATAGGCTGAAGATAAAGCGATGGAACATGCTGGACAATGCCCAGCGATGAAGGCTGTTAGCAGGGATAGCTTCGACGGTCTGCGCGCACCCCGCTTCTGTCCATCTCGTCTACTGTGACCCGTAACCTCTTTATCCACTTCATCCAACGTTCCACTCATTGCTCTATTGAGCTACCATATCTTAAAACTCTCTTCTTCATACTACATGTGCTGGAAGGGTTGCAACACATAGTATCTCCTACTGACGTACTGCAATTGGCAACGTGGAACGCTCGATTCTCGTCAAGAAGCGACTGCAGTCCAGCCATCCACCATGTCGTTCAAGAAGGAGCGCGAGGAGACTCCGGACCTCCTTTCAAGACAAGATTCCTTGTCGCCGGATAACAAGCGCGTGAAAGTTGAGGTCTATCAGCTCGATTTCGGAGAACACAAAGGCCGCACCCTTGAGGACCTCTCCGACGAAGAGTTAGCAAGAATAGCAGACGACGATGCCGTGGTGAACTCAAAACCTGGTCTACGTGAGGCTCTCATTCATTGGGCGAATAACATCTACAAAATCGATAGTGAATTTGGCGGCTACTACAACGGTTGCAAACTTGGTGAAGCACCAATTTCATGGATCAATTCCTGGATCTACGCCACCGGTGGGCACAAACACACTTACACCCGGATAGCTCTCAAATTTCACTTCCTCGATAGAGAGCCAGAAATGCCGGGCTCAAAGTGGGTCTTCACCTATGGAAAGCACGTTGGAAAAAGCTTCGACGAGATCGATGACGACTACCTACCTGTACCATACGCCCAATGGACCAAGGACCAAGGGATAGGAACCAAGCAAAATCCCAAAGACTTCGATCCCAGAAATCCCTACAAGGAAGACGGTACAAGGATTTTTGACAACCGCGGCAAAGACGATGTAGCCGACGCGCTGGTGTATAATGAGCGCATGAAACTGAGAAAGCTCCTTCGAGATCATCCCAATGCTCCGAATTATCGCATGCCATGGTATCAGAACTACTGCAGAGGCCAACACATCAAAGACGTTGATCTCGACGAGGTTCTGCGCATCCATGACAAGCTCGACAACAAGCGAGCCTGGGGTGACGAATACGACAAAGATCTCTGGGCTGCAGTGAAATGGCGCGTCATTAAGCACCACCTTGTTCGATGGAACTGGAGAGGACATTGCGAGAGGGTAAACGGGAAATGCGTCTGGATTCCAGAAGATCTAGGTCCATACTTGTACCCGTCTACTGAGATTGAAGTCTCAGACGAGCCCTATATACCCCGGTTCTAGGTACGTAGGTACAATGGGAAGAAAACGGCCAAGTCATTTCAGATTGGACGCGACATCAAAAGACGAGCATAGAATACGTTGCGCTATCACCTCATACGAGGGAAAAACTAAACAGGTCTGCAGACTACACTAACATGTGTACATGCAAAGTGGGTGTGTTAACATCGATGTAGACCCCAGAGTGTTCACTTTTTCCCTAGGTTGACGTGCTACAAGCGGACGTGGGCGGTGTGTCGCCGCCGGATCACGTGCCTGACACCGGCGTTTGCAGCACACTCATTGGTTGCCTAGGTGGTCAATGAATACACCAACTTGATAAAGCTGAAAAGTTTACCGCGAACCTTCCAACTGTCGTCACAAGCCTTTGTTACCCGCCATCCTGGCGTAACTTCGAAAGAGAAGTAAGTCACCCCATGCACGTCAGTTCATCGTACGCCTTGGCTAACTGCTTTAGCAATTTGACATCGCCAACGGAACCCGCCCGGGACTTTTGTCGCGATGGATCTTCCGCCGACAGTGATCGAAGAGAAGCGGAGAAACGCGGTCACCGAGCTGTCCTTGGATATTCTTCGACCCGACCTCCGCTCGATCAACGACCTACCCGACGAGCTGCTGCTTGAGATAGCCAAACACCTTGAGGGCGACAACCCGACGCTTGGCAATCTGATTCGGACATCGCGTCGCTTCAAAGCCATCGGTGATGAGCTCCTATATCGGACGATCAGCTTGCCTCGTAACCGAGGTGACAGCGTCATCTACCTCGTGCGCACCATCGTTGAAAGACCGGAACTGAGAAGCAAGATCCGTCAACTAACGTTTTCCACGACCAGCTGGCGTATCGACAGCAATGGTGACACTGTGGTAGTCGGAAGCATATTCACCAGAACACGTCCAACGACATCTCGCGACGAGCTTGGAGCTTTGGTGCTACAAATATCTAAAAGTCTCGATAGTCTGAGCATTCTCGGAGCCGGGAACCCATTTCAGAGCATGGAAGAGATTGATTGGCGGTGCACTCTGTTACTCGGTCGGCTGAGTTCGCTAGCTGGACTGCTTCTTGCTCTTTGCGACAATCTTGACATGCTTTGTATGGGCAATTATCACAGGGACGACATAGATATACCCGCTTTCGACGTCGTTCGCTCGCTTTATGGCATCTACAGCGACTTGATGCAGCTACCACCAAGCCGCTGGTCGGACTTCAAGCAATTCCACAACGTTAAGCGCCTGAGAGTCTCCGGTTTGAGCATCGACATACTGAGATTCCCATTCATCTCCCTCCAAGTCCTCGAGATCGACTTCTCGTGGGAGTACTTTAGTGAGGATCTGCCCACTCCGGAGCATGTCTTCTTCGGCAACAAATCAACTCGGTGCTTTTTACCCCGCTGTGCCAGCCTCCATTCACTCATCATACGAAGCGACTGGAATGAGCTAAACGATAACGCCCATATGAGTCATGGCTACCAGCTTCCTATCCTGCTACAAGACTTCGCTGGATCTACCATCACCCGTCTGGAGATACTGTTTGTGAGGAGCCCGACTGTTGTCAAGCAGTGGCTGGGTACTTTCGAGCATATCGCGCGTGCTCTGAGTGAGGACACAAACGTATCTGCAAGCTTACAATTCATCAAAATCGACTACGAGGAGTCTGATCACTTCGATCCCAGGCGTTGTTTCGGTGGTTGTACGAACCTGCACAGCTTCAGCTCATTCCGCAAGTTGACGAAGATGGAGGTTCTGCAAGGTGTACTTGTATTCGAGGCCCGCAATACGTTCGGTGAGTTGCACTACTTTAGCGGTGTTATACCTCCTCCAAGCCTCGAGTCACTCACCGTAATATGTCCTACCAAGGCTATTCTTACATGGCTCAACATGATAGTCGAGCGCAAGACGGAGGTGCCAGCCCTGAATAAGATCGTGCTTTTGTGCAGATGTGGCTACGGTGCTGGACTTAAGGAGTTCGAAGGCGACGTCTCCACATACGTTTTCGCGCAGCTAAACGACCTTGGTATCGATGTGCGTGTGGTTGAAGAGACACCAGGAGCATTCGCGGCTCTAGCTCGGAAGGAAGGCTCAGTGTGGGAGGCGGACTGGGCCGAAGATGGATGGGTGGATGGGTTGTTCGGTCAGGATCAGGGTTGAAGAACTAGCCTTCGACACTCTGGTTTGTGATATTGGTGTCGCATCGCGCACACTTGTTTCTTATCCGGGTAAACACGGAGCAGACCTGAATTCTCTTTTTAAAATGTCTGAAATCTCACGATACCTTTACGAGCTCGATCGTCGCTCCCGCGCTCCGCACTGTAGGTGTCAAGCATGTTTTACTGAGGCGTGCGGCTAGTAAATTTGCAAGTGTAGTGATCATACGTTGGGTAATCACCGGTGTTTATAGTCGTCTAGATGTATTGTAACCCCATGACGTTGTATTGCGACCACCTGCCCATCTTCTTCACGGTCAGTCATCCCCAAAAGTAACGCAGAAAAACTTACATTCACTACTTCAATACTTGCTGCATCAGCCTGACTAAATCGTGTTGACAATCGTATAGTTCATTAAAATGAGTATATAAGAGCAAGTGGGTATCGTGAAGAAATCGTCTAAGTCTAGTGTAGCCCTCTACCAGTATCAAAAAGGTCGTAAAACAAAATGAAAGCAGTATATCCTCTCCAGTACGGGGAAGCTCGGACCAAGCCTCGCGGCTCGGCACCCGAGGGTTGTGTAGTGTATTGGCGTCAATGGTCGTCAAGTAATGGCCTTTTGCCCTCGGCCCGTCCGCATGTGTTCAACACATCGCCCCGCTATCCCTCCCGTATAGCACCTTTGCACTTCTCTCGCTCAGAGTATCCGGCTCGACGCTGATCTGGATATCCGTCTTCTTCATTACATTCCCCATCGGTAGCGCTGTTGTTCCATCGTTGTCCATACGGAGATGCACCGAGTGACCGAATCGAGAATCCCGTGTAAGATCTCCTGTGTCGTCCTTCAAGGCCGCGCTTCCGGATATATCGTGCGATTCAGCATGCGCATCGAAGCCCCTCGTTGCGAATGCGATAAGTTGATTGAGGACCTCGAATTCGAGCTTGAGCTTGATGGCGTATGCGAGTGTCTTCCAGCTGGTTTGGATTTCGTACAGGCCTATGTACTGTAGAACCAGGATCGTGACGTCGAGCAAGATAACCACCGTGTTGACGATGATAAGATGGTTGAAGACCCGCTTGGCGTGTGGGCCCCGGAAGGCGGCCGAGCTGCGCATGAGAGCGAAGGTGCGATAGATATAGAGGCCGCTTATGAGGCACTCTTGGAAGACGAACCAGGTGACCTGGAAGATCTCCCACTTCTCGTAAATCTGTAGCCACCTCTTGGGATTCGGTGAATTCGAGCCAGCGAAAAGCGCAGTCGCCCCTCCTTGCACGATTATACAGGCTGCTATGATCATGCAGAGCAACCACCAATCTCTCTTTCCAGAACTGATGAGGTGCAGTCGTGACCAGAGTACGATGGATTGGCCAGTGATCATGAGCATACCCCCGCCACACGCCAAGGCGATCTCCAGCGGGGCCGAGTCGGATATCCCATAGTTGCGGATGAAGTACCCAAAGGCATGTATGGCGATACCGACCGAGGCTGCGATGAGCGTGTAAAAGTACACGCCGTGATAGGTGCGAAAGAGGCGGAAGATCTTGACGAAGACCTCGAGGGTATGGGAGACGGCGAGGGCGAGGAAGACAATGACGATAAGAGAGGTCTTGTGAGACAGCGTATGGTTCGTGGTCATACCTTCCACCCGATCGGATATTTGGGAAGCCATTGTCGGTGTTGGGTGCGATATTGTCCTGTGGTGTGGTTGGCTTCAGTTACGAGGTGGCCGAACGCCAGTCACGAACAGGGAACGGCGCGCAGTCTCCTCTTCAAGGGACGTAAGATCACTCTTCCTGGGGCTGACGCCACAAGTAGTCTGCCTCATTTTACAGTCAACCAGCCGCCAAGAAACTCTGCACCTCTCGATTCACTACCCTGCATCCCGGTTCCTGGTTAGGCAATAATCCTCACTGGTCGCAAACGCGATCTACGTCAACTCGGCAGGGCACAGACATCCAGAAACGTGTCCTCGTGATCCAAATGAAGAGACTAAAACGCAGCCTTGTTTCCGAAACGCGGTAGAGAACGTGGCGGGCTGCAAGAATTCTCGGGGCTGGCCCCGCGGGGGAGATGTCACCCTGCTAAAGGAAATGAGACAGAGGCCTAAAACTGCGTATATCCTTGTAGCCATAGAGCAACGGCAACGTTATACCGCTCGCGTCAGGTGAACGTTGCTTGACATCGCGCGCAATCGGATGGTGTTGTTGTTAAGGTTGAATGAGCTCGGAGACACAGACCTCGAATGCGTTCTCCGGCAAACGGTTTCTATGATGTTGTTCACGTCGCGTTAGGTGACAAGCCTGGCGAGCAGCGCTCTGATCAGGCCGTGCGGGTTGAGAGTGCGATGTGAACGACTATGAGCCCAGGTTTACCGCGTGATGCAGGATTGCGAGTCAAAAATACGCTCGCACGACGTGAATGGAAGGATTGGTAGTGAAAGAGTGCCGCTCGGTAGGTGGGCGGAAAGTGGCCGCCGCGTTTTCGTGAGGGCCGAGAAGTCAAGCTAGGCACGTCATCGAAGGCACGTGCGCACGCGTTTCCCCCGGGCGAGGTCACATACTGGGCCCCGCTTAAACACCACTGGGCATCTCATCTCCTCCATCCTTAATTGTCATCAAGCGCACTTTCTTGAGAACTTTCGTTACCCGTACCATCAGCCACGCATCGATATATGGCTTTCGATCGGTTCCATCTGAAAACTTCCGATCTTCACGCGTAAGTCTTTTGCTGGGCACATAGACCGACGAGTTTCATCCGGCTCATTCATGAGACAGCTCATAATCTCTAGTTAAGAATGGTCCACGCGTGTGGCCAGAACAGAAGACCGTGCCGCGGTGTTAATCGCATTTGCGAGCGAAGCTGAGTACCTCTAGATGCGACGGCCGTCGCGCATCGTAGCCGCGGTAGCTTCCATGAACACCAATCTCGTCCACGCAGGCATCATCTCCATGTCGAGTGATGAGGTACACAACAGTGAAAGCTGGAATGCAGATTTTCGTCTCCATGGTAACGAGTCTACTACGCAAATGAGACCGCCCAGCGCCATCGAGGACCAGATCGTTGGTCTCTACATCATCATTCACCATCAGAGCCCAGACTTCTTATGCGCATAGTGATCTGGGTTGATTCACCCCGCTCTACCTACTGATGATCTCTGCTAAAGTACTAGATTTTATTCACTCACATCCGATAGTTTCACGCTCTTTTCAGGCACGAGTCACTGGCAGCGATAGGACGCTGTTGTAGGTTTACAAGTGGTCTAGACGATTATTTAACCCTTCTCGCTTGCTCTCTTTCGTATTAACACGACTTGCAACTCCAGCAACATCAAGCTTCGACATCCGATTTGACAAGAGCTCATTCGATACAGGTCACCGCGATGTCTACTACTTCAGAACAGTCCAAGGGCGGCCGCCCTACGAAGGGCAATAACTTCCGTCGCCGTAACGGTCCCAACACAAAGGCCTACGTCAACACCCTCTCGCCCGCCGGCCAAGTCAACAAAGTCTTAACAGACATGGCAAACCTAAACGGCGGCTACCACCTCCGCAACTGGTCAGCTTCCGCGCGCAAGGAGCTAGCCCCTAACATCACCATCAAAGTGGAGGTTTTAGACCCCAACGGCAACAAAGTGAACGTCAACATGCCCAAGCTAGCCTTCTTCTCTGCTTCATCGGCTTTCCGCCAGCACTTAGAGGCTAACCCAGATGATACCTGGGTCAAATTCTGCCACAAGGACGTCTCTCTCAAGTCCATGCGGACGATCGCGAAGTGGCTGCGGACAATCTGTACTGACCAGCAGTACACTGATATCCCCGTACCCAAGGACGTCAAGAAGAGTCTAGAGTTGCGTCTTGCTGCGCAGGTGCTGGGTATGACACAATATACGTCTCAGATCATCAAAGGTTACATATGCGGCCTCATCTACCGTCCCGTGGAAGCAGAGGAATTGGTCCTGGTGGCTGAGCTAACGCGCAAGGAAACGGTAGAAGATCCTCTCGTGGACGCTTTAGCCAACTACGTCGCTTATCTGTGTCGGTACCATCTGGTCAGCAGGGACATAGAAGACCAATATCTGGCCGCGCTTGCCGGGGGCAAATGTGCGAAGCTGTTGGACGCCGTGAAAGACCACAGGATTAGAGCTATCGCGCAGAACGGATGGAAGGCTATATGCCCTCAGCCACTGGCGCAGTCTTAGACTCATAATTAGTTTCATCGAAGTAGCCTTAGATTAGTTTGATAAAGCTTCTGTTTTCGTTACCATTGACTATACATTCGTAACCAAGACATGGCAGCCAACGTGATAACGCCAGGCGATAGCAAGTGTGAGCAATGACCAGTATTGCGTAAAATCGAACAAGCACCCATATTCTTCGCAGTGTACCGCGTTGCCGCAATCAGGATAGTAATTCGATTAAAGTACTATTAGACTAACGTACTTAGACCTTGTTCAGCCAAATGAGCTTACTCTGGTAGTCGCCCATTGGCCACGCGATGTTAAGCCCGCCGTTCATGTACGTAGCCCCGCTATAGGTGGCATTGTCCAGGTCGTTGCTATATCTCGCCTTAGGATCCAAGCCCTGTAGTCTAAGCGGGGGTGCTGCCGGCTTGATCATGTACTGTTGCTGGAACGCAAAGACTATGCTCTGGTTTCCTTCTGCACTGACGAATTGCACACCAGGCCAGTTGCTGCTGTCGGGATGCGCCAGGCGGTAGAAATCACCGGAGATGACAACGGGGTTCACCGCCTTGGCTTGGGCCATGATGGAAGGCACGGCGGAAGCTTCCTCTGGGGAGAGTTCGGATGGGTTGAGTTCGAGACCGAAGGAGCCGCACATCATGGCGACGTGACCGCGGTATTCGATGCTGATATTGCGATGGGTGAGACCGTTGGGAACCGCAGATATGTGGCAACCCATTGCGGAGGGCGGGTAGACCAGGGATGTGCCCATTTGGATCGTGAGACGGTTTGAAGCATCGGTGTTATCACTGGTCCAGTGCTGGGGCCAGTAGTGTAGAAGACCAGGGTCAAATCGGCCTCCACCTGATGCACAGCCCTCCCAGAGTACATCAGGATAGCTGGTCGTGAGATTGTCGATAACGCGGTATAGACCGAGGATATAAGTGTAGTCATCAGATGGGCGGGCAAGCTCATGCATGCCACGGTTGTTGTCCCATTTGACGTATTGGACGTTGGCGGAATCGAGTACACGAGAAATCGAGCTGATGATGTAGTCCTGGACTTCCGGTAACCCTACGTTCAAAACCAACTGGTTTCGTGTCAAAGTCCTTTGGTGCTTTCCAGCATGCAGGACCCAGTCGGGATGCTCATGGTACAAAGTCGAATTGGGGTTGACCATCTCTGGTTCTACCCAGATACCAAATTGTAAAGCCGTGGACGACGCGTTCAACACCGTGAAGTTATTGACTTGCTCCACGTACGGGCCTAGACCATCGGGGAACTTTGCTGGGTTGGGTGTCCAGTCTCCAAGACCCATAGTATCATTGTTGCGTGGGTAGTCGACACCAAACCAGCCATCGTCCATCACGAACAGTTCAATTCCAAGCTCTTCCGCCTCGCCGGCCAGGCTGACCAGGGACGTTTCGTTGATGTCGAAACTCAGCCCCTCCCACGAGTTGAGCAGAATGGGGCGGGTTTGGTCCGTGAACTTGTGTCGAGAGAGGTGATTACGATAGAGATCATGGAACGAGCGCGACACGCCACCAACACCCTGAGAAGAGTACACACCGACAGCTTCGGGAGACTGGAACATCTCCCCTGGTGCCACGCGAATGCTGGAATGAAGCGGGTTAAGGCCCATGAGAACGCGCACATAGCCGTTGGAGAAACGCTGTGCTGTAGCTTCAAAGCTACCAGTCCACACTAAACTGATGCCCCAAGCCTCTCCGCTAGATTCGGTGGTGGTTGGCGAAACCAACGCGAAGAAAGGGTTGTGAAGATGAGATGCATATCCTGCGGTACTTCGGAATCTGATAGATGTCAGTGTTTATCCAGCAACGCCTAGGCATATCAACTCACGAAGTCTCGCCATAATCGATCTTCCTCCTCACGGTCTGGAACTCATGCGACCAATCACCGTGGGGCTCAATCATCTCGAGGTCGAGATTGGGGAAGTCAGTGCTAAAGCTCGACGCTCTCTCGATGACGATATCAGCAGTACCGTTGTTCGCAATGCTGAAGCTACGTGCAATAGCGTTGTACTTGGGGAAGATTGAGTACATCAATGCAGCGGAAACATCCGACACGTTGTCGTACATGTGCACGGTTACCGTCGTGACATCGCCAGCTTCTCCATAAGTCGCAGGTAGTCCTGGCAGAGAAGGCTTTCCCTGCACAATGTCGTGGGATTGGTAGCGGAAAGCGGATATCGTGTCGCCATCCGTGTGTTCGATGTGGATAGCTGGTAAACGGAAGTCACCACGGCCAATATCGGGAAACTCGCGACGCTCGTTGCCTATCTCGCCAGCTACCCATCCGGATGGTAGGATGTAGGCTGGCGGTGTGAAGTCGTCGGTTGGTCCTCCAAAGTGATCTGAGATGAGGTCGCCAGACTCGGTATCAACGTGGAACAGGTATGACATGCCGTCAGCGGTAAGTGTGAAGTTTGTGCCAGATGCCTGAATAGCTGCCTCGAATTAGCGACTGCCTCTATTGTAACGTATAGCCATATCCTACCATCTTGCGCCACGACAGCGCTGGCCAAAAGGCTCAACGCGAGACCCTTGATACCAATCATTGCTAGATCTTGCAGGTGAGCAATGCATCACGAAAATTCGTCAAGGTACCTTCTTAAGTACACTCCCAACCACCCTGGTCGCATGCCTAGCTTACATCGGGGATGCAGTGGACTGATCATCGTGAGGGGAAGTGGGGAGGGTCCGGGGTCGACAGACAAGCTCTTCTGCCATGGAACTCTGCGTAAATTGCAGTGATTGGGCCTGGTGCGGAAGTTGGCGGATAGGATGCCGGATGGAGAAGGGACGGTGCTACTCTGGGTCGGTGCGACGTTTAGCCGCGGTTGATGTCGTCAACGGTCCCATAGAAGGCTGCAGCTGCCATCGCTCATCAGGTACACTAGCACAACGTTGAGCGGAAAACTACAGGAAAACGACATGGCTGCCGCAGAAAAGCCGTTCAAGTAGCGCCAGCACCTCGTTCAAGGAAACAACTGGGCACCCTAGAGCCTACATAAACATGGAAAGCTGCAAAGTATACGGCCCAACGTCAACGTAGGCTCCAGGGTATCCAATTCTTCCTTGAATGAGGTGCCAGCTGCTAGAAAACATGGCACGGGTGCAAATCTCGGGATGTATGCTCGAGGCTAGAGCGCCCAGCTATCAGTGCTACTGTACAAGGGCCAAAGTCGTGATGCATGCTATTAAACTATACTGACGCTGAATAAGCTTTTGCTCAAACGCTTGACTCGTCAACCCATAAACCCGTCTTGCGGTCTGTGGCATCTCCACTCTCAGCTTGGGATCTGTCGCTGCTATGCCTTCCGCAAGACGAGAGCCCCATCACCCATAGCTCGATTCGTAGCTACGGTTCTCATACACCAGGCATGCCCAACCACGCTCTGACTTGTGGGACGCCTCTTGGAAGGAAGTAAACAGTCCACAGCGCTGCAAAGGCGACCAAAAGGCCCGTGAACTTCTCAAACCAAGTGTGAAAGTAGGCGGCCGTCATGAGGAGCATCCACCACATCAGCGCGGCGACACCAAGCGCGAACTTGACGCCACGCGCAGTAGCCTCGCCCTCAGACTTGACGAGGTCTTTCTCCACTGCAACGCTCGCAACTTTGCCATCGGGCAAGGTGATGAGCCTTCCATCCCTCAGTCCCTCTACACGCGTCAACGCAGGCAGGAACTCTAGCCACAGGAGTGACGAGCCAAGTATGAGCAAGAAGACGTGTCCAGAGATATCGTGTCCGCCCTTCCATGTTCCACCAACTGCCTTGCACGTCGCCGCGGTAATGTACTCTCTCGTGGTGCTCATTTCCTCTCTCGCCTCCGGGTCCCTGATGATTTCGCATTGACCTCCCGTGAACCTGAACCCGCGATCAATCAGAGGCGGCCCAAAGCACCACTGCGTCATGAAGCACCACCATGTTGTCACGACGCCATATCGCATCACCGCTCGGATGCGTCTCGCGCTGGCACCCTGACCGAATCCAGGGTGAAAGGTGACGAAGACGGCGAACGCGAGTGTCGTCCAGAACCAGCCTTGCTTGACAAAGTATACGTTGAAGATGTTCTTCTTCTGCGCAAAGTACGAGGGCGCGAATTCGGCGGGGTGGGACTGGAGGACGGCGGAGTAGGGCGCACTGCGGTTTGAGGGCGATATTATGCTGAAAACGCTACCCATGAGGAGCGTCAATGGGTAGATGGCGATGAGCTGCGCCTCGAGGCGGGTGGGGAGGAAGGGCGAGCGGCGCGCGGACGGAGAGCGAACGGTACCGCTGGGCATGCCGGCTGTGATGGGAGCCCCATTGCTGGTGTCGGTGTCGGCTTTTCGACGCGTTGCCATGGTTGTTGTGGACGGGGGATGGGCTCTGTTGAGCTGGAGGGTAAGGGCGTGGCAGTTCCCACCTGGGCACGAAGCGAAACTCGCGAACAATGACGTTATTTGGTTTTGGCGGCTGAGCCAGGCGCGACACCCTAGCCCTATTCGGCCTGCCACCGCCAGCCTCCACAATGACAGCACTCATGCAAGAAAAAAAACCTGCATAGGTCTGCAGACTACATTAAGATGAAAACATGCAAAGTAGCTGAGCTCACCCCAATGTAGGCTCCAGGGTGTTTAGGTTTTACATTGGCTGACGTGGGTATCTTGCCTATACCTAGGGCTTCCCAGGCTCGGTTAAAAGACGTCAGCACAGCAAGAGCTCACTATCGGGAGACGACATAGCACAGACTCAAGTTCGTGTCTTTCAGGTGGCATCCGAGCTGGACAGGGAGCCATCAACTCTCAATAAATCTCGGTGGATCGGTGACAGGGGCGTGCAGTAATCAACTACTGGCGAACCGAGTAACATGCTCAATTAGAATACACCGAGCCCTGGCAATCTGATAGTAAGTCACGGAGGCGATACTGTTGATTGCATGATTTTCAGTCAAGTCGTCGAAATGTTGAACTACGTAGGTAAACTAGACGAGGCGAAATTCACCGTGAAATACCTCCACAATCACATTTCACTGTAGTTGCCTAGTTTCGCTCGCCGCATGTCCCTTATGGCTCTCTCGAAGGTCAGTCCATTCTCCCCACTTCCTTCAAGTCGCCCACATGGAGTCAGTAGTCGCCGTCCACACGAACGAGGGCAGCCCAGCAGCGCAATCTGCTCTGGCCGCGCTCGCAGCCACTCTGAACATCAACGAGCACGCGCTGAAGACGGCTCTCAATGGCGCGTTCGATCTACTGCCCGCGGCCGCAGGTAATACAATGCTTGCGCTGCAAATGAGCTTTCAACGGCTGTCGTACCACATTGACAGCAAGGCTTTGGTCGAGATTATCATGACATTTCGACGAGAATTCGGCGGCGCTCTGAGTATGGAACGAGGTCAGTGTTACAGAAAGTCCAATATAGTTCCTCGCTGACAGAATTTCTCAGTCAAATATGCGACACCCGCCCGGGCAACTTACAGTCAAGTCCATGGGCCGTATTCAGATCAAAACGTACATATCGGTCCTCCACGGTACTTTGCCCCAGGTTTTCGATCATCCGGTGAGCCTGTTGGCCAACACTATAACTTCCCGGTAGCAGCACACTACCAAACTCAGAACTATCCACTGCCGTGGGGCTCAGGCTATAATGATAACGCCCTAAGGAACGCGTCACAGCTAGGTGTGACGTCGACGAACGACATATCTCCTGTCTCTCCAGGCCACCAAGGTCCTATAATGGCTAGTCAGAGGAACGAGGCGCCCTCGGTACTTCCAGGCGGTCCATATTTCGGTCGGTATCAGTGAGTGATACGAGAGTTTGGCCCACTCGTGAAAGACGTAGCGGAAGGCTGGTTTTGATGACACATTTGTGGTATTCTGTACAAACAAGCTAGTCGGGTTGCAATGTTTCATGAATTCTTCGCCTTTGGTCGGTAGGCTGCCTAGCTCTTGATTCCTTAGCCATGATATCGACCTTGAATGTGACTTCATTCCAAGGTTAAGCGTTTAGCATAGCCTACACAATAGTAAGCTTGCTCAAAGGACAAGTGATCAGCTTCCATCTACGTGCGGAACAAGCAAACGTACTCGTATTGTTGCATAAAGAAGGAGTATACACGCGTGAGTCGAGGAACAATAAGGTCATGTCGTCTTTGAATAGCTCAGGGATGTTTGACTCAACTTCTCCTGCCTTCACCTGGTATATACACACAGAAGAGTGTCGTGCTCACGGTCGATTCTGCCTTGCTTCCCATACCTTCAGTGTTTATAAGTTCCCCTTTTTGCCATCGTCTTCCCTCTGCAACGTCAAACCTATAACAAATAATCATCATATACAGTATCATGGCCAATAACTCGAACTCCGACAGCCCCAATCACGAAGAACCTTCTGGTGGTGCTGGATATCGCCCCCTGAAATACCTGGACGAGTCTCTGTTCCCCAACAACGACGGGGACTTTGCACCTTCATTCATGCAGCCACATGGACCAGCCAGTCGCCTACACACTCGACGTAAGCCATTTTAACGATACTGTAGTCTTCAATCTAATTTTCATGCGTAGCCCCAGCGGCAAATCCACCCCCATGGGAAGACCCGGCTCAGGCTTGGCGGTACGTGGATGACGACAGGGTATGGACCGGCGAGGTCTTCGTGGTTTCTCGTCGTACTCGGCCGGATACAAGGACAGTCAGGGCCAATCCGCAGGCCTCTGGATCTTCAACTGCAGCTGCAGCTCCACAAAACCCTAGGCAAAGCCAAGTACCGAGGGGCCTACATGGTCCTGTTGTCTTTAACTCCATTGGACAGCCGCAAGCTCCAGTAGATCTTCAGCAGCGTGAGCCAGGCAGTAAGATGACTCAAAACACCTTGGTAGTCTTCCCGCTAAATCATTATTCCGCAGCCTTTTCAACTCCAGTTCCTGGTAGCCGTGATGGTGCCTTGCGAGGTACACCTGTAGCTCCTCGAAAGACCGTGAAAGCCCCATCACCTAGCAACAATGGTGAATTCGTGTTCACCGGCTGGAACGACGAAGCCAAGCGAGAGCTCTTCATGTGGAAAGTAAAGCGCAAGAAGGGCTACCCTTTCTTTTTGCATCTCTTTCCCGGTGAGACTGCGGATTCACTACACGAGGCGTTCAAGTTGTACAAAAATGAAGGAGAGCGTTTGTTGAACGGATAAGGGTGCGCAGGACTGGTGGTGTTTCGATTGAAGGAATGACTGTCGGACACGTGTCTAAAGAAATGCAGTATGGACATGAGAAGCATGTATCTAGGTAGACTTATAGCCTTGCGTCAGTGAAAAACATTCAATATGTGCAAAGATATTGGTGCGCGTCTTTCCAACAATTGACTTCAGTAGAAAATTGGGTTACGCCACCTACTTAGGTAGGCAGTCAGCGAGAGACAATCGCAAACTCATGTGGACTATTGGAGCTTCGCTTCCCTTGACACCATGAACGTGTGTCCATGATCAGATAAGTAATGCACAGCCTCACAACGATAAGATATTAAACAATCGGTATGGGTTCCCGATACCTGCATACCTAGCCCCTAATTGTGCTGAACCATCTGTACGGTTGAGCCCTCACCTTACCTATCAGGCTTCGCAACTAATTTATCTTCATTAAATCATGACTTGAGATATATTTTCACGTGCGCGTGAGATAAGTTGCGAAAGTGGTGAACGGCTCATGGCGCAGGGTGATCGCAGTACCACGGGTTGCAGTGGATCATAACCACTCAGATACCCATCTAGTCAGGTCGAAAGACTGCACTCATCATGAACGTATTACCACTGCTCATCCACATCATGGCAACCCTAGAATTTGTCGTAATCTTTTGGTTACCTAGGTAAGCCCCGCTCATCATTTCCGAGTTCCAAGTGCGCAGGGTAGATTCCTCTTATAAAAGCTTGCCTCAGCCCGATATCTTTTCTGCATCGTACAATATCTCGCAATCTTCTTCTCACATCATCCGTGCGCATCTTCCTACCAAAAATGCGGATTCCAACCTGGCTTTCTCTCGTAGTACTACTACTTCCTTGCTCACTAGCATGGACACGTTGTGGAGTAAGTCAGTGACAATCGCAGGATGAACACTTATTCTAATGACCGCAGAACGACGCTGGCGTAACCTGCGAGCAAGAGATCAGTCGCCAATATCCCATATCATGCATCCACCCGGATTATGACTTCGGCGATGCCCAGCTGCCATCGAAAACGAACTGTTTTTGCTATAGACACGATATTGCTGAGAAATTCTGGGATTGCTATTACCGTCACGTTCTACCGTGTGCGACGTCAAAATCTGTCTATGACGACATCTTCAGTTCGTAACTTTTAGTATTTTGATAGAATTATGCTAATTCGAGCAGAGGAAGAATGGTCTTGGAGGGGTTCACGACGACTCTTTTGCTTGGACGACTGGAAACCAAACTTACCATGGGATGCTCCTGGGGCACAGGCACTGTCTACCAAATACCGTTACGACCGCCCAAACCAGTATATGTGGGATTGGCCGTAGCGAGCTCTACGTAAAGATCGTCCAAGTTACGGGCACACATAGAATCATGAATGCCATGTCACATCCACAGGTAGTTCTTGGGAAGTCATGAGGCTATCTATGTGCCTAGGTACCTAGGTAGTTGTCCAGATAGGAGCTATGTGCCGTTAGATAATGTGGGACACTTAATGCCGAGGCCTACGTTATATTTGATCTCGATTTTGCAGCATAACGTGTGCGCGTAGATTTCTTTAGGGTAATCTCATAGGTTTTACGAATATCCGCCCGACGGTACAAGTCTACCCAGGCACATTGAACCGAAATACGTCAGCTTAGTCATCGTAGCTAGCGCGTCGATTCCGCGAAGTCCGCGATGCAGATATATACTGAAAATTGAATGATTGGTCGGAATGAATCAACTGAAAAGAATGACGAGCCACCGTGACGTGAGGCGCATGGGAGAGCCCAGGTTGGGATGATTGTTGCGTGGGATTAGTCATCGACACTAGCGCGTCAATCTCGCGTGGCCGCCATCGCCATTGTCCTCTCACCAAACGCATCTCATCCCATCTCCTTCCGGACCCATTCTTCTCACTTCTTATCATGCTTTTCGCAAACGACATGCGTCTATCTGTGTATTAGAGGTAGTCACAAGATGGGCGTCTGGAACTTCTGATCATGTCCATTCACGCGCGACCTTGCTTCGCTAGACAGATCCCGCGATGCACGCAGCAATACTGCGAGGCTCTCTGATAATCGAGAAAATCGTACGACAACCATGTTCTGTTCCGATTCGGAACCCGTCCGTCAACGCACCGTACACAAATGTCAGGATCCCATTCAAATCTTGTCTTGGCTTTCACGACACTACACACAAGACAGCACTTGGAATGCTTAAGCATGGGGCTGGCTCTTATCTGGGTTTTCGAAGACGGCCTCATCTGAGGCCGAAAATTCCGAAGAGTCGAAGATCATGGCCCTGACGGGAGCTGCGACGCTTGTGCGACATGAAGAACCCCAGCATCCTAGCGAGCGGTCGGCCCCGCCGCGCACTGGCGTTTGACACACTGTTCCGACCACTCTGGATCGCCAAGCTGGCCTGTAAACGTTGTGAAAGCGTTCCATCATGTAATTCCGGCAATGCCAGCGACGGGTGGCTGAGGGAAGCAGATGTCACTGAGACTCATGGGCTTGAGAAGCATTTATTCGCAGTAGGCCTCAGGAGGTGCACCTGATGAGTTCACTAGTACCATCGCTTTACTTCACAGTCATCTGTTCATCTGGCTGCCGGACAGCTGTTTCTCGTCTACGTCTTCTTTCGATCCGCTAATTAACAAACTCTCTCGATATGAAGCTCTCTCTGGAATTGACTCTCGGTCTACTGGCCGTATCATGCGTCGATGCATTCGTCGTTCCCCCTCGCACGCTATGGGCAGTATGTTGATCCGATGCACCGTCTTGGCTACTCAACACGTTATCTCTCTTGTTAAAGCCTGTCACTCATTGCGTATGCTGACACTCATGCTAGACTAAAGCAAACCTTGCCTCTCGCTCGTATCGCGCACACCCTGTCAGACGTGACGCAGACTTTCAGAGCTTGGACTCGTTGACCCATGGAGGAAGTCGCCGCCGCGAGGCTCAAAAGCAAGGTGGCGGAGGAAGTGGTCTCACGATCGGAGGCCTCACTCTAGGCGGCTCAGGCGGTGGTATCACTGGCAACGGTCTCAAGCTCGGCGGAAATCAGCAGGGCAATGGTACTGCGGCAGCCGCGGCGGAGCCCAAGTCTTCAGCAGCAGAGGGCGAGAAGTCAGCCGCCGCCGGTCAAAAGCCTGCTGTCGCCGCCGAGCAAGAGTCAGAAGAAGGTGCAGCTAGTGCTGGCGCTGGTACGGAGAACCAGCCCGGACGCGCCGAAGGAGAAGCAGCAAGGAAAGAAGCTGAGCAGGAAGCTCAAGAGGCCGAGGGTGAGAAGTCAAACGGTGTCAAGGCTACTGAAGAGTCTGAAAAGTTCTCTGAGGAATCTGGTATCACCCTCGGTGAGGACGGTGCTGCGGCGAACCTCGGTGGAAACCTGGGCATCACGCAGGGCTCCGATGGCAGTAAGTCAATCGGCGGGTCAAACGGTATCAACATCGCCGCCAGTGGTGAAGTGACTCTGTCAGGTAACAAGTAAGAGCGGAGCGCCTGACTATCAGCCCTCTCGGTGCATTTCATATTTCATTTGTATCTCTCACTAGTTTGTGGCTACCCATGGACCTGTATAAGCATCACACATCTGCAACTCTCACTTCAAGCATTACCCTGATTGCTTGCGTAGAGAGTCTGGGTTCTCTCACCAACGGTAAAAGACGGTGTGAGCAAACGGCCGTCATCATGTCGCGTGGCATACAAAGCGTCAAAGCTCGTCGCCACACTTCATAGCTTGCCTCCTATAAAGGCTAACCGCTGTCATTGTTATCTTCCGTTTTCTCTTTCGTACTTCACTATTTATCGCTCATGTTTGCGTCTGACGTGCCTCTCTCCCTGGTAAGGACGCTCCGCTAATCTTCGAAGTATAGACCCTGATGTGCCTTAGATAGGGACCACCTAAGGTGCTCGCCCATTATCGCTACGGCATGCACACGCAGTGCAGAAATCGGTCATTGTATTCGGGAGAACATGCCTTCCGCCGCTTTCGAGAACGATGATTCCGGCGGTCATCCAGCACGGTAGCAGCAGCCCACAACGCTCTCCAGCAGCTCGGTTGCCTCAGTGTACAACGGCTCAGACAGCGACGATGAGAAAGATCTCTTCAAATTGAGCCTACAGTTGGCTGTTGCAGACCGCAAGAACAGCGATCTGGAGCGCGAGCTTCAGCGCTCACATCATGCAGTCGCCATGGTCAGAGCGTCAAACAGGAATCTGCAGCAGAAGAATACGCTCAACGTCGCCGTGGCCTCCGAAGCAGAGGCACTTCGCGCGAAAGTTGAAGCACTCGAGACTTCTGCCGCAGAGAAAGATTCGGGGTTGGAAGCCACGCGACACGATGTGACCGTTGTGGTACACGATGCGGATAACACTCACGCCCGGCTGCATTCGTCCCAGGACTACAACAGTCGACTTGAGCGCAACGTGCGGCCTCTTGAGAGCGAATTTTCGGAAGCCAATATTCGCACAAACGAGGCCGCCATGAGTCAAGCGGAGGTCGACGATCTGCGAACGCAGCTTGCCCAGCACTCAAGTCAGAATCGACAATATGCTCAGAGGGTGCAAATGAGCACAACCGATGCAGAGCGCCTGAAGACACAGGTCGACGGTCAGAAGAGAGAGCTAGACGGCCCTCAAGAAAAGCTAGTCGCGGCTGAGTCATCTCGAGATTGGTACGTCTTCCACTTTCGTCCCTTCCGATTTTTCGATAAGCGCAGGAGGCCTTCAGTGTATCACCAACGCTCTTATGAATCATGAGAGTGCTGCGATCCCCTCCATGCCTCTCAAAGAGCTACCAATCGGGGTTCCCTCTACCGAATATGTCACTAACATGTCTACAGGTACCGTGATGAGCACACTCAGATCTTGGCAGTCCGTAACACAATCAATGCCGGACGTGCGCCAAGCATAGACCCCTTCTGTAAGAAGTAACTACGACCCAGAGAAGTCACTCACCATCACGACGACTAACACAAGCGCACACAGGCCAAACTCCCTACAACAAATCACTACCGGCAATCAGTCAGCGAGAGTAAGATTAACTTCAAGCTAAACAGATCAATGTTACTAACATATCTACAGATGGCGACCATCCCTGAGCGACCGCGAGAAGAACCAGGCGCGACCGAGTTCCTCCAGAAGGAGCAATGGAAGTTGTCACAAGACGCATATAACCTTCAGAGATGGTCTACCTACATCGTCGTCATCAGCGCGCTAGTCACCATCGCACGGGCGGTTGTAGACATCGTTGTCGCCGCCAGGAAAAAAAACAGCCTCATCAGGACCATATGGTGGTGCCTCGTATTCTGCTGGGTATGCTTGGTCAGGTTTCTGCGCGATTTGTGCGACAATGTCGCCCTCAACTGGGGAAATTTCACCTGGGGTGTCAACTCAAAAAAGCCCAGGCGACCGGAGGGCTCCCAAGACTAGCGAACAGTTCATGCGGGGGTATACAAATCGCCGACAGAAGCTGATCAGGCATCATAAGGCTCACGGACGCATTCAGGAAGGGAACGGTGTTCGGTTCTGGCTTCTGCGGGACGAGTTTAACAATCTTGACGGTCAACGTGGGGTCAACGTCATCTACAACTGATGTTATGACGGGATGGACGGTGAGGATATACGGGTCGATGATGACTACATTACGATTACTGCTCGCGGAAGGCATGATGATGATGATGAAGGCGGGAGTTGTACGGTGTGATGTGCGTGGTCTGTATGAAAGACGCTGATATCGCGAGGATAACGATGCGCTACTCTAACCAGACGTGCATGTACATAGAAAAATTTCCAAATGAGCTTGGCTATTGTCTCATGGTCTGGAGTGTGGTACATAAGCATTGCTACATAATGTGACGGGAGCGAGCGAATGACGTAATGCGCACTAAAATGCTGTGCAAACCGGCCTAACACCAAAATCCTACAACATCCTCATCCCGTTTAAGATCTCAACATCAACATTTTATTTTGCAGGGATAATAGTTATCCCGACAAATGCCGGCTTCTACGCCAACTCTTCTTCCTGTATCAGATCAGCTCTGTGCCAATTTAAGCTACGATCATTTTCACCAGCACTTGATATTAAGTCGTCTTTTGCGATTCTGGGAAGACGGATACAACAACTGTCCGAACACGTCCTGAGAAAGAGATTGAAAAGTTCATTGGAGGAACAAAGGGCTCGCTAAGACGGCTTTTAAACGCTGCTTTTCTTTCTGCGCCAGCATCCCCGAGCCGGCAAACAAACCCAACCTATACACATTATGCAACAACCGCCCTCCAGACGCGGCCGTCCAAACCGGCAACCGCCTTCTTCAGAATCATCAAGAGGTACCCACACGGGCCGCGGTCGCGGCCGCGGCGACTCCAACCCCATCTCAGACCGAGGACGAGGACGAGGAGCATCTAGGGGAAGAGGACAAGGCCGCGGTCGCGGCAGACCCAACTTCAGACCGGACCCCGACGAACCTTCTGTCCCCTCATTCGCATATATCCACCCTGGAACAAGCGTCTCAATAGTTCTCAAACAGGATCAACCCACCGGACACCAGGTCCGCGGTATCGTCGCCGATCTGCTAACACGGGGTGATCATCCGCGCGGTGTGAAAGTGAGGTTACGAGATGGAAGGGTGGGGAGGGTGCAGAAGCTTGTTAGTGAGAGCGAGGGACAGCAGGGTGAGGCTGTTGTTGGGGGCGCTGGGGCGGGGCTGGGTAGGGATGGTGAGGGTGAGGGTGAGGGTGAGGGTGGCGGAGGTATGAGAAGAGCAGGTGGGAGGATGGTTGGAGGCAGGGTAGAGAGAGATATTAGGGATGAGGACGAGTATCTTTATGATGAAGGCAGGACTCGGAGACAGCCGGCTGACGTGGGGCTTTTTGCGGCGTTGGAAGAGGCGGATCGGAGACATCAGGGTGGGGATGCAGATGTGAGGGGGGTGGAGGTGGAGATGGCAACGTGCCCAGTTTGCGGGGAATTCGAGGGGGACGAGGCGGCGGTTGCGCATCATGTCGAGGAGCATTTTGGGGGATGAGGTACGTGAGAATGGAGGTCTTTATATGCTCGGCATACAAGTATGCTCTCGTGACACAATCACAATATTCGAAGACCAGCCACGAAAATAGATCACATCAAGGACGCTCTCTTCTTGATCGTCAACTTTTGAAATTTCGTTCTACACTACTTCTTCCAATAAGTCACAAACGGCATTCATTTCCTCAAGCAGATTTCATGCGCAAGATAATAATGAGAGACGCCAGGCAATGCTCAAATCCCTCGAAAGCCAATGTGAAAATCAATGCTTCGCACCCAAATACAGGAGAGCGATCCAAACGACCGTCTATGCATCTACTGCTCGCGCATCTCCTGTATCCAACGCCATGAATGAAATCTGTCGGAAATGTTCTGCCAAGGGTATACACACGAATCAAAGGTCGGATGATGTGTTTGAAACGGAGCGTGGTGGTTGTCGTTACGTGGGTATGATGGGGGCGTTTAGAAGGGGAAGCCACCGGGCGGTCCTCCTCTTCGGCCACCGCTGGGCATGCCGCCCATACCGCCAAACGGACTTCCACCGCCGCCGGAGCTGAAGTGGAAACCACCTCCGCCGCCACGGCCGCCTCCCATACCTCCGCCCATGCCGCCGAACATTTGCATGACTGTGAATCGCGTTAGTCGTAACCTTTCTTTCATACATATGAGAATACTTACGGATCTCTGGGTCAATGCCGCCACCCATGCCACCCATACCTCCTCCCATGCCTCCGCCGCCAAACATGTCGTTGGGATCGACAAGATCAGCACCGGAGTCGTATCTCTCACGCTTTTGTGGGTCGCTCAGAGTCTCATGTGCTTCCTGAATCTCCTTGAACCTGTCCGCAGCATCGGCATCGTCTGGGTTCTTGTCGGGGTGGTGGACAATGGCCAGCTTTCGGTATGCCTTCTTGATCTGTGTCTCTGTGGCGTCCTTCTCAATACCGAGAATCTTGTAGTAGTCCTTCCTCTTGCTCTTCTTAAGCTCCATCTCGGCATCGCGGATTTCTTTGGCAATGCCAGGCTCCGATGGGTTCTCTTCCTGGATAGCCTTGAGATCACGTACTGCCTCCTCCCAGTTGCCGTTCTCTCCCAGGGCCTTCGCCCGGGTCTTCCGTGCCTTAGTGTAGCTGGGGTCGAGCTCGAGAGCCTTCTCGCAGTCTGCGATGGCTTGTTTCCAGCTCTTTTGCCGGCTGTGGCACAGGGCTCGGTTCTGTAGGATCTTGGAGTTTGTGCCCTTGTTCGAGGGGTCGACTGCGAGTGCCTGCGTGTAGGTGTCGATGGCTTCTTGGTACCTGCCGGACTTAAAGGCAGCGTTGCCCTCTTGCTTCATGCGGTCCAGCTTTTGCACCATTCGCAGGTACTTGACAGCGGCCTTGAAGTCGGGGTCGCATGCCAGTGCTTGTCTAAAGTGCTGTACAGCCTTGTCGTTCTCGCCCTGGGCGTATAGGATGCGGCCGCGCAGTACGAGGGCGTCAGGATCCTGGTTGTTGTACCGTAGTAGCGACATGGCTACGTTTTGTGCCTCTCCAAGAGCATTGGCATTGCCCATGCGCAGATGTGCCTCTCCCCGCATGAGCTGCCACTTCCGGGGCTTATCTACACCAACACCGAGACCCTTCTCAGCCTCGTTGAGGGCGTATATGACCATGGAACCTGAACCCTCGTTCCGTGATGTGTCTTCGGCCATGCGGAGGTGCTTCTGCATTGTCAACGCAGGCTGCTTGTCTTTGGCCGTGGCATTGATGGAGTCGTACACCTGCACAGCCTCGTCCGGTCGTCCCAGGCTGGTGTATACTCTGCCTAACCGCAGGAGGATCTTCATGTTGTTGGGATCCAGCTCGTCGGCCATCTTGCAGTCCTCCATGGCCTCGTAGAACTTGTTGGCGGAGATGTAGGCGGCGGCCCGGTTCGAGTAGTAGGTGGCATTTTTGGGGTCGGCTTCGATCGCTGCGGATTGGTTAGCCAGAAGCTCTCCCGGTGTACTGTAGTGCAAAGCTTCGGCTAGAGCATGGGCAGTGTCACTACGCACCTTTTGAGTATTCCTCGATGGCCCGCGGGTAGTCTTTGATCTTGAAGAACTTGTTGCCGGCCGCCTTGTACTCCTCGGCGTCTATCGTCGGGGGCTCAGCGGGCGGGGTGGCAGCCTCGGGGGTCGCGGCGTAGTTTGCAGTGGGCGGCGGCGGGCTCTTTGTGTAGCGGTGTGGTGGAGGAGCAGGCCCGTCGGGGGCGCCGTTGGCGCCATTCGTCTTGGGCGTGTCGGCGACGGGGCTCGAAGGGGCGGGCGAGGACGAGTGGTCCCGGTCCACGTCCATTGGCTGGGGCGTGGGCTGGTCCATGGCGGACATCTGCGAGGACAGGCGCTGGCGCTCCTCGGGCGGGAGGTTTAGCGGGTGGGAGTCGCGGTCGTACTTGGACGAGCGCTTGGACGAGTAGGAGCTCGAGCGGCGGCTGGAGGAGCGTTCCCGGTCCTTGACCTTGGAGTGGGTGTGCTTGTCAGGCGAGGCAGGAGGGGTGCCTGAGTTAGCCTGGGGGGAGGGTCGGGGGGCAAGGTTGGGGATATCTCTGGTCTTGGACGACTTCTTTGAGGATGCGAAGAAGGAGGGAAGAACCATGGGGGCGAGCTGCGGAAGGATAGCGGCCTGGACGGTGTCACTAGAAAATTAGTCTGGCTGCAGCGACTGTTGGTTGAGATCCAGGGCGGATAAAAATTAAGCTGGGATTTTGGTCCTAAAAACGTTGCTAGAATGTTCCATATCAGCGAGGTTAAGCCCGCTAGCACTTCTGCCACAGAGTCAAGCCGCAGCGGACGTGCATCGGAAGGCTGGGCTGATAGTCGCCTACCACGCCAATCGCCCTGCATGCGGCACCGACTTACTGCCCGTTGTCACGTCGCGGAAGCGGTAAACGCTCTGCAATTACCTTTCTCTCACTCTCGACACGCGACTATACGCTGTGGGACTCCAGGACTACCTCGAGTGGGGCATCCGACTCGCCCAATCCGCGGAGAGAGGCTGGGGCGCGCAGTATCAACAGACGACAACAATACCTTGCATAGAGGATGCGACAGTCTGTCCACTACCAACGCTCATCGTCCTTTTTATCGTCGATGCGCTGGCCTCTCAACCACCAGCCTGCTTCTTTGTGTGCCAATGTAAAACGCTCTCTGTTTGCAGGTGCATGCACACACTCGGCCATGGCAACAACAACACCGAGAAGATGACTTGAGGTAGACAAGCGCTTATACGATGACTCGCCGTTGCGGAGAGACATTCAAAGGCAGCAAGACCGACAATGATCTCCCGAACAGGAAATTGGCGTGGCTGTGGTTTGTCACAGGGTGTCTGTCAATGATCTGATGCAGAAGATGCTTTCCATTTAGTCGACTGTTCATGTTCTCGGATCT